TGGTGTGAAGTGGTGATGTCTCATGGACTTTCTGAGCTAGTGAAATCTGCTGGTAGGCACGATGTCTTCTGGTTTACTGTGCTTCATCATGAAATACACAGAAATGGCTTTAGACTTCAGTTAAAGTACTGTTGGAACTTGCAGGTGGCAAAAAAAAGCAAGAGGATACGTGTCAGAGAATTCCATGTTCTGCTCTGTGCTGTAGCAAACCCATGACACTCTCAAAAAATGAGTGAAATTGTAGTTTAACCAGCCTTGCCATTAATGATCATATATGGTGTCTCTGGAATGTTAAAAGCAGAAATTGCACTAAGATGTATATACAAAAAAGATATTTACATCAGCTGCGACAGGTTGTGAAAGTCTTGGGACTCCTTGTTGATTATGAGATTATGAATCAGAAGGCATGTTTGCTTATTTAAAAATAGAGTGGTAATGTAAGCTAAATGTCATGTATGTATAAAAATGGGGATTAGCCTTTTTACATCCCTGACATGAATACATTCATCTGTGCAGAATGCATTAAAATTTCAGAATAAAAACAGGAGAAGTGGCAATTTCTTGCCTCATCAAGCTAAAAGGGCAAATGTCATTTGATGCATTAATTTTCTCAACTGCCAGAGACAGAAGCTGGAAGAAGCACAAACTCTGTTTCCAGTCTTCTGCCAGCTAATTTAAGATCCTGTCCTGAGAGGCAGCATCACTGATCAGCATTCATAGAGTCATAAAATTGGAATCTCCTCTGGTGTGACTTGTGCCCATTACCCCTGGTGTTTTCCATGTGACTGACTCCTTGTAAAAAGGGAGTCTCTTTCTTACTTGTAGGCACCCTTTAAATACTGGAACGTGGTGATAAGGTCTCCCCTGAGCCTTCTCTTCTCCAGGCTGAACAAACCCAGCTCTCTCAGCCTTTCCTCATACGGCATACCAGGTCTCTGATTATCCATGGCCATTCCCTGGAATCTCTCCAGCCCATCCACATCTTTTTGGATAGCAGGTACCCAAACAACACAGTATTCCAGGTGTGGCTTGACAAGCACTGAGTAGAGTGGGATAATGACATCTTTATCTCTGCTGGTCATGCCCTTGTTGAGGTTGCCTGTTGGCCTGTTGGCTTTCTTTGCTGCAGCTGCACACTGTTCATTTCTAATGAGCTTGTGTCCACTAGCACCCCCGGGTTTAAGACCTAGGAAAAAGGTTTGATGGTAGTTACAACCTTTTTGGATTTTCTGTTCTCTTTCTTGCTAACTTGCTTATTTACACTTTGTTTAAAATGTCATTCGTGGTTATGTCTCTTAAGCATTTTTGATGACCACTGGATTCAGGAGAGGTTCCCAAATAAGAAGGGAACTTGTGTCTGTTACTGTGGGCACAGTAATATGCCTCCTACCAAATCCTCCACACTCTTGTCCCCTGAAATGGTGTATTAGGGTTGCATGGCAAGGTTTTGGTAGTAGGGAGGCCCAGGTGGCTTCTGTAAAAAGATGTCAAAAGCTTCCCCCATTCAAACAATCATTTAGAGGCCTAGTGTTTCAAAATACAAACATCTGGAAAGAAACATGGTAAACACAGACCAGCAACCCACTGGCAAGAAAGAGACTGAGGGTGGATGGTCTCTGGTGTTTTAGATCATCCTGCTTGCCTAAGAAGCACAGGACCCATCATGTGGCTGAAGAGGGAACTCCCAATAAACAGAAGGTTTGGAAACTGTTCAGATGAGGCAATGGGTTGCCTTGTCTTCCATTTCAGTATAGCAGCTTACAGTGTACCATCGCAACAAACACAAAACCAGGTTGAAAACGAGGAGCTCTGTGCTTGTATGAGAAGAGTCCTAGCGAGACACTTGAACGAAGTACTTGCTGATTATAGCTTGAGTCCCAGTTCAGTCCTATTTGTTGTGTTCTGTGGAGATGAGGTGACCTGGTTTCTTTTAAGGCTGAGGTGGAACATAGATGGAAGACTACACTGCAAAAGGGATTCTAATTTTTATCCCAGACCAATATACTTCACAGGTGAGGTATGTTACATGCATGACTATATGGTATGCAGTCAGGATATACTTTTACAGTGTTACTGCTGAAATAATGTTCTTTTTAAGTTTACAAAGTAACTGCTGTGGGCAGGTGTCATGGTTTAACCCCCAGGCACTAAACACTGCACAGCCACTCACTCACTCCCCCCATGTTGGGATGAGGGAGAGAACTGAAGAGTAAAAGTGAGAAACTCATGCGTTGAGATAAAGACAGTTCAATAGGTAAAGCAAAAGCCATGCACACAAGCAAAGCAAAACAAGGAATTCTTTCACCACTTCCCATCACAGGCAGGTGTTCAGCCATCTCCAGGAAAGCAGGGCTCCATCACACATAATGGTTATTTGGAAAGACAAGCACCATACTTCCGAACATTCCTCCTTCTTCCCCCAGCTTTATGTGCTGAGCATGACACAATATGGTGTCATACGGTATGGGACATCCCTTAGGTCAGTTGGGGTCAGCTGTGTCCCCTCACAACTCCTTGTACACCCTCAACCTACTTGCTGGAGGGGTGGTGTGAGGCACAGAAAAGGCCTTGGCTCCGTGTAAGCACTGCTCAGCAAGAACTAAAACATCCCTCTATTAACAACAGTTTTCAGCACAGATCCAAAACCTAGCCCCATACTAACTACTGTGAAGAAAATTAACTCTACTCCAGCCAAAACCAGGGGATGATCTAGGATACAAAACATCTTTGGACTTCGATATGAATGCTTGTCCTGTTTAAACCTTTTATATTGCAAAAAATCTCCAGCTGTGAGGGGGAAAATTTCTGTGGCTGCCTCTGTATTTTTAAATACCACGGATCATCTCTAGATACCAAGGATCCCTGTTTCCTGATTTAATAAATTCATACAAAGCCTCTCAGTACCTTTTCTGCTGGTAAAGTTGTCTCATAGTTTTGAAAAACCCGGTCATACACCAGTCAGTCTGCTCCACAAGTACTCACTGCTCCATACAGTATGAAGAAACGAACCTATTAATAACAGTTCATATGATGTATTTGGTGCACACTCTCAGTTCTTTCAAGGCAATGCCAATAGCTGCATCTTAATCTCTTACTCGTTA